ATATCTCCTCCAAATTAGCATAGATAGCCCTTGCACTACACTATCAAGTTGACTGCACTTAATGGTTATTAAACTACATTTGTTTTTTGTTTTGTCAGTCCTGGGACTTGAATTCAGGGTCTGGGTACTGTCCCTGAGCTTCTTTTGCTCAAAGCTAGCACTCTATCACTGAAGCCACAGCACCACTTCTGGCTTTTTCTGTTTATGTGGTACTGAGGAATCGAACCCAGGGCTTTGTGCATGCTAGGCAAGCACTCTAACATGAAGCCACATTCCCAGCCCCAACAAGGCATGTTTAAAAATATGTAGTTTAGCCGGGCGCTCACGCCTGTAATCCTAGCTACTCAGGAGGCAGAGATCTGAGGGTCGCAGTTCAAAGCCAGCACGAACAGTAAAGTCCCTGAGACTCTTATCTCCAATAAACCACCAGAAAACCAGAAGTGGCACTGTAGCTCATGTGGTAGAGCACTAGCCTTGAGCTGAAGAGCTGAGAGACAGCACCCAGCCCAGAGTTCAAGCCCCACGACTGACAAAAAGAAAAAAAAAAAAGGAAAAAAAATATGTAGTTTAGGGACTGGGAATATGGCTTCGTGGTAGAATGCTTGCCTAGCATGCACAAAGCCCTGGGTTCGATTCCTCAGTACCACATAAGCAGAAAAAGCCCAAAGTGGCACTGTGGCTCCAGTGGTAGAGTGCTAGCCTTGAGCAAAAAAAGAAGCTCAGGGACAGTGCCCAGGCCCTGAGCTCAAGCCCCAGAACTGGCAAAAAAAAAAAAAAAAAAAAAGCTTTCTAAGGAGAAAAAGAAAACACTTTGTTTTTTCACACAAGAGAATTTAACTACATAATTAAATTTCATAAACTCCCTGTTACTGAACCTGGGTCCTTTTTCCTTCACTAAATAGAATCTCTAAGACTCTGGTAAGGCTGCTGCTATTTAACATATGGCACTTCAGACAAGCAGGACTTTGATCAACTCCTACACACACACTACCTGGCTAACCAAAGCTGCTAGTGACCACATCTCCCCTGATTATCTACATCTGTATTCTGAAATGCCTGCTCTAAGACTAAGTGCCCCATCCAGCTGTGTAGCCAATCCTTGTTACCTGGCAATCTCCTGGTGGTAATCATAGTGCTCATCTTCCTCCAGCCATTCCACAGATCCTGTGGTTGGATTGGCTCGCCCACAGAAGACCTTCATGGTGCCAACCAGCTTCCTGGTGTTGGGATAGAGAAGCAGCCCTCCAAGTTCACTTCTTAGGGACAAATTTGATAGTCAGAAATCTATTCAATCATGCACCCAACCATCAAGGGGCTGGGGGGGTGGAAGAAAAGAGGGAAAAAAAATCAAGAAATTAACAAAAACATTGAAACACTTCAAAGTATTTGTTAATCAGTATTTTAATATTTCCAGGAAGAGACCCCTTAATTATATACTCAGCATATAAAGAGCTACAATAAAGGAGCTGGGAATGTGGCTTAGTGGTAGAGTGCTTCCTAGCATGCACAAAGCCCTGGGTTCTATTCTTCAGTACCACATAAACAGAAAAAGCTTAGAAGTGGTGCTGTGGCTCAAGTAGTATAGTGCTAGCCTTGAGCAAAAAGAAGCTCAGGGATAGTGTCTAGGCTCTGAGTTCAATCCCCAGGATTAAAAAAATGTCATATTAAGCCCCCCAAAAAATTGAAATGCGTGGAAGTATGGCTCAACTAACAGTATCCACCTAGCAAGCTGAAGGGCCTAAATTCAAACCAGAGTATGACCAAGAAAACAAAAAGGTAAACCAGGTACCTGTGGCTCACGCCTGTAATCCTAGCTACTCAGGAGGCTGAGATCTGAGGATTTCAGTTCAAAGCCAGCCTAGGATGAAAGTCTGTGTGTGACTCTTATCTCCAATAAATCACTCAGAAAATGGAAAGTGGCGCTGTGGCTCAAGTGGTAGAGCACTAGCGTTGAGCTGAAGAGCTGAGGGATAGTGCCCAGGCCCAGAGTTCAAGCCCCATGACAGACAAAAAAAAAAAAGGAAAATCACAGAATGCCTGTTCCACACCTACCCATCATCTTCTTAAAAACTAGCTTCAGGCTGGCACGAGTGGCTCATGCCTGTAATCCTAGCTACTCAGGAGGCTGAGATCTGAGGATCATGGTTCAAAGCCAGCCCGGGCAGGAAAGTCCGTGAAACTCTTATCTCCAATAAACTACCAGAAAACTGGGAAGTGTCGGTATAGCTCATGTGGTAGGAGTGCTAGCCTTGAGCTGAAGAGCTGAGGGACAGCGCCCAGGCCCAGAGTTCAAGTCCCAAGACCGGAAAAAAAAAAAAACAAACTAGCTTCAAAATCTCCCTATTCTATTAGTCAGAATTTTTTTTAATGCTCTTCTGAAGTTACCTAGTCTAAGTAAACATAAAATTCTTCTAGAAAGACAGGAAAATAATCTTTCCTGAAATGATGCTGTCACCAGCCTGGCTCAAAGTACTCAAATTGTCTTCTGGGAACACCCTTCTAAGTCAGGTGCCAGTGGCTCATGCCTATAATCCTAGCTACTCAGAAGGATCTGAATATCCTAGTTCAAAGCAAGCCAGGACAGGATAGTCCATGAGATGCTTATCTCTAATTAGCTACCAAAAAGCCAGAAATAGAGCTGTGGGTAGAGTGGTAGCCTTGAGCATAAAAGCTCAAAGGCAGTGACTGCCTTTTTTTGAAGACAGACAACCCACAACTATCAAAATCTGTAATGTGCTTTGGAAAATTGTGTCCACCAAATGCTATGTCAGAAATTATCATATGTGGCTTGAATACTCAGGATAGACATAAAAGATGGATAGTATTGGGAGGGGCTATTTTACTGTATCAGAAAGGTCTAGACAATCATATACACTAAATAAATTAGTTTGGCTAAAGTGAAAATGAACAAGTGAAAACAAACACATCAATAAGATCCTCATGGGGAAGGATCCAGAAGCCCTTATCCTATGGTTCACGTGGAATCAATTTTAAAACCATTTAAAAGATAAAACTGTAAAGAAGTTTAGTCAACGGAATTCCTTTCTTCTCTGTGATGTTGTGGCTCAACCTAGGATTACAATGTTTTTTTTCGGTGGCTCAGTGGTAGAGCGCTTGCCTTGCATGCATGAGGCCCTGGGTTCCATTCCTCAGAACCACATAAGCAAAAAGAAAAAAGCAGGAAATGGCGTTGTGGCTCAAGTGGTAGAGCGCTAGCCTTGAGCTGAAGAGCTGAGGGACAGCGCCCAGAGTTCAGGCCCCACAACAGGACCCCCCCAAAAAATAGAGATAGGCTAAGAGTGAGGTTCAAAGATAGAGCACTTGCCTAACCTGTAGGAGACCAATACCCAATTTTAGAGGAAGAGATTATACAGAAATCTAAATAATTACTTTTGGGGGGACATGATGCTGGGAAGTCAAGCCCAAGGTCTCACACATGCAAACTCTACCTCTGTGCTACATCCTATCTTTACATAATGAAGACGGAACCATATTTTGGTTTCCAATTCTATGAAGGAACAAACTGGTTCTAGTTAAAAACTATATATCCTTTATCAGTAACTTTCCTCAGGTATTGCTGTAATTTGTTCTCTCTCAGAAGTCCATACTTCGGATTCAAGAGAGCTCTAAGATCTTCTTCCTAATCTTCAAGAGTTGAGAACGCACATGGTCATTTACAAGGAATGAATGGAAATCACCTTCCCAAATCTCAATCATAAGAAGCATAATCATAAGCAACCTAACCATCCATAATCATTGTAGTTCTAGTATTGGAGATCAAGTACCTCCCTGATGCAAGGCAAACTCAATACTACAGAGCTACATCCCCAGTTCTCATAGAGAATAACGGAAAGAAAATAGGTCAAGGGCTGGGAAGGTGGCTCAGTGGTAGAGCGCTTGCCTTGCATGCCTGAGGCCCTGGGTTCAATTCCTCAGCACCACATAAGCAAAAAGAAGAAAGCCGGAAGTGGCGCTGTGGCTCAAGTGGTAGAGCACTAGCCTTGAGCTGAAGAGCTGAGGGACAGCGCTCAGGCCCAGAGTTCAGGCCCCACGACCGGACCCAAAAAAAAAAAAAAAAAAAGATAAGAAAATAGGTCATGGATGGATAGATTAGGCTAAAGTTGTGTAAGGGTAGTTTCTAATATGTGGATATTTATCCAACTTTTCAATGACAGGGCCCTAAAGTAGAAGTAGAAGATGCAAAAGGAAAACGTGACAAAAGTCCACTCAGAATTTTGAATAAAAGTGCAAAGAGCAGAGGAACTGATGGCCTTCTGGAAGTGACACCAGGCTTTCGACTTCGGAAAGGATTTTGCCCTGAGTGCATGTCCATACCGTGAGCTACGTCTACCTCGGGTGCATCCCTTTACAAAACTACTCCAGGTGAGCTCACAGAATGCTTTCCACTCGTACTTTCTACTAATCCTCGGAGTCGTGACTTAATAAAGGCCAGCTGCCAGGCATCCCAGCACCTAAGAGCACAGGCCAGTTTCGCGTGCGAAGGCTGAAGCAGTGTGAGGTCTGGCTCCAGAGAGGCGCCGGGCACGAGTACCGTCAATGACCCGGGCCCGGCGCTGGGCTCGGCCACGGACCCTGCGAAGGCTTTCAGCAGGCCAGACTGCAGGGGCGGGCGGGCCTGCAACCTCGCTCTCCCGTCCGCCACGGGGCTCCCACTCTTTCCATGCGGACTCAAGAGAATGTCCGGCAGAGACGCGTGTCCTGGCGTCCAAGCACAGCCACACCAGACGCCTCTGCCAGAACCCTAGAGGTAAGGGAAGGATGATGGCTGTCCCGGGGACTCCAACCACACGACCCCCTCCTTCTCAGCACACCCAGCACCTCACCGGCCTCTCTCTGACCAACCCGCTCACCTCCGCCGCCATCTTGCCGCGGCCAGCATGTGGGGGCGGGGCATCCCGGCAGCAAAGCAGAACGTTCCGGGGGCGGGGCCAGGAGCGGAAGTAGAGGGCTTCCCTAGTTCACCCCGCGTTTTCCCACAGTCCTCCGCGACAGGGGCTATGGAGGCCGGAAGGACGGCGGTGCTCCGAGTGAAGCGGAAGCGCAGCGCTGAGCCTGCCGAGGCTCTAGTGCTAGCTTGTAAACGCCTCCGAGGCGCCGAGGATGGGTCTGCCGCTCAGAAGACTCCCGAGTGTCTGGAGAGCGCGGCGGAGAACAATGTCTTCCAGCTGGTGGCCACCGTGCGCTCCCAGGTACCGGGCGGCGATGGAGTCTGTGGGGAGGGGATCTTAGGGTACCGCTGGAATTCCACGGGATGCCCTGACCCCCTCACACCCTTGCTGATGCCGTTCCCCGCTCCTGCCTGTCCCCCGCCAGGAGGAGCCACTTCAGCCCCTCGTGCGGGCTGCCCTTCGCCCTTCCCGGGACAGCCAGCAGCGCATCCGCCGCGATCTCCGCGCCTCAGCTCGGGAGGTCCGCAAAGAAGGCCGCTACCGGGTGGTCTCCAGCCGCCGGGCCTCCGGGACCTCTGGCAATCTGGAAAGCCAGTGCGCGCCAGAAGCTGCCGAGGATGCAGGCTTCGAGCTGTTGGACCTGATCCACGAGGAGAAAGACCCAGAAGGTGTTGTCACGGATTCCTGCACAGTAAGCACCCAGAAGTAGGCCCTGGGAGTCTGGACTGTTGTACCAGGAGTCTGCGACCGAAAATAGGGACGGTTGTGATCTGTTTGGAGTGATGGCCTCATTTTACCGATTTGATTTACTTTTGACATGTGTATACGAGCGCCAGACGTTGTTCTTAGATTCTGTTGAACAGCAGTGAGGACTTAACATTCAGGGAGATGAGAAAAACATAAAAATTAAAATCAGTGGAAGGTGGCAATACAGGTTGGGGGGTGCGAAACACTAAACAAGTGGACCCTATTTTTAATAAATGAAAAAGACATGTGAGTGAAGATTTAAAGAAGCTGAGTAGCAAGCAGAGGCATTGGGGATATCTTGGAGAGAGGCTTTCCGGGCAGAGGTCTTGCAAGAACACAGGTGGTTTAGTTTATACCAGGTCAGTATGCCTGGAGTCCAGCGAGATAACATAGTAGTAAGGAATTGGAAGGGATGCTTTCTAGACCCTGTAACGTTTGTAAGAAAATTGCTTTTCACTCTTAATGAAATGCAGGATCAGTGGAGCAAAGTAGATAGGGAAATTGATCAAAGGGAGAATAGAGACTAGATATCCCCGATTTCTTCAGTAACTGAGCCCATGGTCCATGGGACCAAGAAAATTGAAATCAATACAGAGAACTATAGCAGGCCTGCCTTCATCCAACTCTTGGAACATGTTTTGAGTCATTCATCTATCATCTGTATTTTTACAGATAGCTGACCCAGATGTGATTCTCTGCAATTCTGTAGAGTTAATACGTGAGCGGTTGGTTGTATCTGAAGATGGACCAGAAGTTGGGCGCCAAGAACAGAAACATGAAGACTATGTGTATGACATTTACTACTTAGATATGGCCACTCCAGGATGGATTGAGAACATTCTTTCTGTGCAGCCCTATAGCCAAGAGTGGGAGCTGGTAAGGGATTCCATATGGAACCAGCGTGTGACAGCCTCTCTATCTATTGTCAGGGTACTGTGCCTCTCAACATTCTAGTCCTGATAACATTGTTCTTAGGTCTTGTTACTTAAAAGGAAAAATTTAAGGCAAGTGGCCAAAGTGGTAGAGGGCCTGCCTAGCAAGTGCAAGTTCCTGAATTCAAGCTGCCAAGTATATGTGTATGGAATGTGTGAGTGTGTGTATTTTTTTTCTTTTCTTTTCCTCAAATACTTTTACAAACCTAATTTAGTGCAGAGAATTTAAGGAAAAACCATTAGTATTTATAGATTTTTTTTCTTTGCTAGTCTTAGGGCTCGAACTTAGGGCCTGGATACTATCCCTGAGCTTCTTTCACTCAAAGCTACCACTTGAGACACACCACTATTTCTGACTCTGTTTATGTGGTACTGAGAAATCAAACCCAGGGCTTTATGCATGCTAGGCAAGCACTTTACCAGTAAGCCACATTCCCAGCCCCGCCACCCCTTTTTTTTTTAGTCAGTCATGGGGCTTGAACTAGGGCTTGGATGCTGTCCTAGAGCTCTTTCACTCAAGGCTAGCACTCTACCACTTGGAGTTACAGAGCCACTTCTGGTTTTCCAATGGTTAATTGGAGGTAAAATTGTCATGGATTTTCCTGCCCAGGCTGGCCTTGAACTATGATCCTCAGATCTCAGCCTCCTGAATAGCTAGATTACAGCTGAGCCGCCAGTGCCTGGCTGTTTATAATTTATGTTAATAAGAAATCTTTTACAATGTTTACAAGATCTTTATGGCTACCCATTCTTGGGTAGAATATGTGTAGAGGCATTTAATAAAGTAATCTAGATACTTTTAATAAAAATGACAGCAATAGGGCTGGGAATATGCTTGCCTAGCATGTATGAAGCCCTACGTTCAATTCCTCAGTACCACATAAATGGAAAAAAACAGAAGTGGCGCTGTGGCTTAAGTAGTAGAATACTAGCCTTGAGCAAAAGAAGCTCAAGGACAGTGCCCAGGCCCAGAGTTCAAGCCCCAGAACTGGCAAAAAAATAAAAAAGCAAAACAATTTTTAATTTTAAAAGAGGAAAGAACCTTAGGTGATGAAAGATAACATCCTAACACCACTATTCTTAAGTTCTAACATCATTAATGAGAAAATTAGAGATAGTATCTGTTACACTAATAATGTAAGACAAGCACTTTATCCTCTCACCTGCACTACTACCAGTTTGACAGTCATACACCTGTTTGGACCAATGCATGGCCCTCTACTCCTGCCTTCCCATAGCTGGTACTTTTAAATTTTGTTCCTGGTCTTTGGCATTAACCACATTCCATACAGTCCTTCTCCCCCATGACTGCCATTCAGGAATTTGAAGATGGTTGCATTACCTACTCAGAGCTGTTGCTCCTCTACCCTGCTGATGGAGTTGGAATATGGTATTCTGAAATTGGATTCTGGGTAAAACAGGGCTCTTTGCCCACTCATAGCCTGAGATCACTACAGCCTCTTTTGCAGCAGTCAAATTAACCCCCTAGTCTACCTTTATCACCTGGCACCTTTCTCTGAGTCTTCCTACACTGATATGCTAATAGTTCCCATAAACTTCATAACCTTAGAAGTTTTCATTTAGACTCATGTTTGCTTTGAGATGTGCAGGTGAATGATGAACAACCAGCAGAGGACATTTATGAAGATGAAGATGATGAGAACAGTGAAAATAATTGGCGCAATGAGTACCCAGAGGAGGAGAGCAGCGATGGAGATGAAGATTCCAGAGGTTGGTGGCAGCCCAGATAGGGCGGGGACTAAGTATCCAAGACTAATAAGGTCTAAGAGTAATTGGTAGTTTTGTTGTAAATGACTTTCCTTCTCTGACACTGAACAGTGTTTTCAGAGACACTGCTGTGAGGTCGGTCAGGTGTAATGTCAGGCAGGCCTGTGCTCAGATCCTTATGTCATTGCTTCTCTATGGTTTCAGGCAAGTTACTTTACTTTCCTGAGCTTTATTTATTGTCCTTTTTCCTATTCTTATCAAGAAAATATTAAGCCAGGTATGAGTGGCTTATACCTGTGATCTTACCTTCTCAGAAGGTTGAGATCTGAGAATCAGTTTGAAGCCTGCCTTAGTAAAGTAGTCCTTGGAATTCTTATTTTCAGTTATCTGACCCCCCAAAAAAAAACTGGACTGGAAAGTGTGGCTTAAGTGGTAGAGTGCAAGCCATGAGCCAGAAATGAGTATTATGCTAGACTTGGACCTGTAATCCCACCACTTGGGACATTGAGGAGGACTGGGAGTTTGTTGTCAGCCTGGACTATATAGCAAAACCCTGTCTCAAAAAGTTTTCCATTAGCAGTAGGCTCAGGGTTGTTGAGTTATTTAGCACTAAAAACTGTTGTGTTGGGGCTGGGAAGGTGGCTCAGTGGTAGAGCGCTTGCCTTGCATGCCTGAGGCCCTGAGTTTGATTCCTCAGCACCACAGAAGCAAAAAGAAAAAAGCCGGAAGTGGTGCTGTGGCTCAAGTGGTAGAGTGCTAGCCTTGAGCCGAAGAGCTGACCGGACCCAAAAAACAAAACAAAACAAAAACTGTTGTGTTTTTCATCTATTGTTTTAAAAATATCCAATATTGACATATACCTGGGGGAATAGGAAGGAAACCTGGCCTGGCAACCCAGTTCCTTTGACAATTATGTCCTTCTAAGTGCAGCCAACAGAAACCAACATACTGCCTGGTAAAGGAACAATTAAACAGTGGCATAACAACAAAATCCTATGCTAAAGTGATGTAAACTGGGGATGTAGCTCTGTGGTTGAGTGCTTACCTAGCATGTATAAAACACTGAGTTCAATCCCCAGCAATACAAAGAAATTTTTTCAGCTTTTGCTGAGCCTGGTGATATACATCTATCATCCCAGTATTTGAGATGCTAAGGCAAGAGGATCCAGATTTTAGACCACCTCAGATACAAAGAGAAACTGTGTCAAATCAACCGGGTAAAGGAAATACTCCAGTGTTAAGGGACCTGAATTAGTGAGAATATAGTTGCTGCTTTTTTTGGGAGGGGGGAGGGGAGGAGAGGGGGTCTGTAGTAGTACTTGAACTCAGGGCCTGGCCTAGGCAGTCCCTGAGCTCTTGTGTTCAAGGCTAGCGCTCTACCACTTTGAGCTACAGCTCCACTTCTAGTTTTTTGAGTTGTTAATTGGAGATAAGAGTCTCATGGGGTCTTTTCTGCCCAGGCTGGCTTTGAACTGAGATCCCAGATCTCAGCCTCCTGAGTAGCTAGGATTACAGTTATGAACCTGATTTTTAAAAGATTTTTTAATTGTTATTATAAAAGTGATATACAGGGGGTTACAGTTACGGAAGTCAGATACCAGCAGTTGTACAGCAGTTAAATTAACCCCCCTAACTCTACCTTGGCACCTTTCCCTGAGTCTTTCCACACTGATATGCTAATAGTTCCCACAAGCTGAATAACCTTAGAAGTTTTCTTTTTCTGGTCAGTCGTGGGGCTTGAACTCTGGGCTTGAGCGCTATCCCTCAGCTCAAGGTGAACGCTCTACCGCTTGAGCTACAACGCCACTTCCAGTTTTTTAGACGTTTATTGGGGATAAGAGTCTGACAGACTTTCCTGCCCGGGCTGGCTTTGAACCGCGATTCTCAGATCTCAGCCTCTTGGGTAGTTAGTATTACAGGAGTGAGCCACTGGCGCCTGGCACCTTAGAAGTTTTCTGTTTGGATGTCACCCCTTTCTTCACTCTCTCCAAATATGACTGCTTTTTTTTTTTTTTTTTTTTTTAAAAAGGGTACTCTGTATTCTAAATTGAGCATGTGTTCTAGAAAGGGGAACAGCAATAACAACAAAATGCCTTTTTAGAATGGAAGAGGCTCTTGTAACAGCCTGCATCATACAATAAGTCTATTCCTGATTTCTTCCATCTAGGCTCTGGCTCTGATGACTCGAACAGCCTCAGTGAGGAGGAAAGAGACTTCAACGTGCGACAGGTGTGGAGCAAGTACCCTTTGGATGTACAGAAGGCGTTTGACTATGACAACCCCCAGGACCTGGATTCAGATTGACTTGTAATATCCATGTAGTTCTTCCATAGACTCTTGAGGGATTGGACCAATGTCAAGGCCTGGTGACATCTTTTTGGATTTCTAATCCTTTTGGATTTCTAACTGAACATACGGAGGGAAAAAGCATACCCAGTAACAGGGAAAACTTAACCTAAGAGAATGAGTTTTTTCCTCTCACAGTAGAACTCGTTGGCTTCAATCAGAGGTGATCCTACAATGGAAGAAAAATGCTATAAAAATGAAAGTTTCTTTCACTTCCTGTTGTAGGCTTCTTTTTCCCTAGTACAAGTCTGTGCTGAAGGCCAAAGGAGAAGCAGTAAGGTTCTACTTCTGCCTCTAGTGAAAGCCCATTCACTCTGATGAAGGGGCTGGAAAAGACTAAGTATAGTACAGCCTAGGTAGCAGCAGCTGTTAGGGGAAAAAGTAGACTCTGTCTGAACCATGAGGTTTTAGTAAACAGTCATCTCTGCTTCCCTTCTTGGGATTCTGACAATGATAAACAGATTATTGTCATCTTTTGGCAGTGGTGCCAAGGAACAATATGTATTAATGTGATACTCAGTTTAATAAACACTTTTGGGGGGGGCTTGAACTCAGCATGTGGGTGCTGTCCCTGAGCTTTTGCTCAAGGCTAGTGCTCTACCACTTGAGCCACAGTGTCATTTCCAGCTTTGTCTGAGCAATTCATTAAAACCAGCTGGGGCTGGTTTCAAACTATAATCCTCAGATCTCAGCCTAAGTATCTAGGATCACAGGCATGAGCCATCAGTTCCCAGCTAATATTTTATATAGAAGAAAGCAGTTCCTTTAAAACCTTTTTTTGGGGGGGAGGGGGAGGTCTGGTCGTGGGGTCTGAACTCAGCCTGGGCGCTGTCCCTCAGCTCTTCAGCTCAAGGCGAGTGCTCTACCACTTGAGCCGAAGTGCCACTTCCAGCTTTTTTCTTTTTGCTTATGTGGTGCTGAGGAATTGAACCCAGGGCCTCATGCATGCAAGGCAAGCACTCTACCACTGAGCCACCTTCCCAGCCCCCGCTTTAAACCTTTTAAATGTCTTAGTTGTCATCTATCTATCTATCTACACACACACATATATACATATATATATGTATATATATACAGTCCCCACACATACCCACAAAGAAAAAAAGCTGGTGAGACAAGTTTCAAACTTAATCTTACTAAGGATTTGTGTATATGTGTATGTGTGTGTGCCAATACTGGGTTTTGAACTCATGCTTTCAGGTAAGTGCTCTACCACTGAGCCATGCTCCAGCTTGGCCAGTGAGTTTGTTTCTGACTCCATTACATGGGAAAGTGCATTACTCAGAAAATGCCTTTGTGGGGTTTTTTGTTTGGTTGGGGTTTTTTTGTTTTTGTGGTACTGGGTTTTGAACATAGGGCCTTGTGCTTACTAAGCAGGCTGTATCTTTGAAATCATGTCAGACTTCCAGCCCTTTTTGTGCTAGCTAATTTTGATAGGGTATCACTTTCTACCTGAAAGCACATTGGATCATAATCACTTATTTTAGGTGTCCTCTTGTTGCCAGGATGAAAGGCAGATGGCACCATATCCAGTTTCCCTCCATTGAGGTCAAGTCCTGTGGACTTTTTTGCCTAGTCAGGCCTTGAAATCTCTTCTTCCCAGTCTCAGCCTACCACATAGTTTATACTTTATAAAAAGTATATCACTGTATTCAGCTGTGTGTTGAGACGGGGTCTTGAGAGCTCCCCAGGCTAGCCCCCAACTACCACCCCCCCATGCCTAGCCCCTCCAGAAGCTAGGATCAGAGGTGTGAGCCACCAGTGTCCAACTCCTACATTCTACTGTTGTTTGTTTTTTTTTTTGGGGGGGGGGGTTGATCGTGGATCTTGAACTCTGTCTTCAACTCTGGACCTGTGTGCTGTCCCTGAGCTCTTCAGCTCAAGGCAAGTACTCTGCCACTTGAGTCATAGCACCACTTCCAGTTTTCTGGGCTGGCTTTGAACTGTGATCCTCAGATCTCAGCCTCCTGAGTAGCTAGGATTACAGGCATGAGCCACCAGTGCCCAGCTCTACTGCTTTTTATTTTCAGATGCTTCTCTACATTGTTTCATTTGTCTATTTTATAATCCTTTGCTTATATTCTCTAAATGTCAGAGTGATTCAGTTCTGTGTATTTAGGTCCTACTATTGCAACCAATTAGACTAGACTAACAGACCCAATTTTTTTAATTCCAAGTTCCACAAAGGTAAAATTCAATGTTGCATAAATAGGCAACAACTTAAGTGTATAAAAGCCTCTTGCAGGCATAGAAATAAAGGATTAAAAACTATTCTACCATTCTAATGTGTTCAGTGCTTCATATGTATTCAGGTTTTGTCAACCTTGGAAGGACTAACAACTTTATGAAGTATACCCTCAGTAAAAGTGCACAAACTGTACCATTGCAGAAAGGATTAGCACACCAGGAGATGGATTTAAGGAGGCAAACAACAAAGACTTTGTGGGAATTAATTCCACCATGAAGCTTGAGTGCTGTTAGTCAGGCTTTGCTCCCATAGAAGACCCCTGGGGGCAGTCTGTATCCAACACAGAAGAATGTTGTCCAGGTTCAGTAATGAGTTGACATGGCTCACTAATCAAGTGCTAGGGCACCTGGAGTATGAGGCCCTTGCTTCTCCCAGAAACCACTGGGAGGCAGCAAATTCCAAGGATCAGCAGGTTGTGGGTTAGCAAACATTAAAGCCAGGGTCGGGGACAAGCACCCACTGCTTAAAGTATTAGCTTCAGAGGTACCCTGGGATTAGTGCCATCTTGGCTCACAGCCTTTGCACAAGACTCCTGTCCTCAGGAAGGAATCTACTATATGAATCCTTAACCCATGACAGGAATGTCCCCCCATATTCTTACAGAAAAATGACTTAAACGAAAGGCAACTGATCATACTCCCCTAAATCTTTATTGAACAAATAAATGTTTTTTAAGCTTACTCTGCAACTGGGACCAGTTTGATGAATGAATAGAGAGGGAGATTGTCTGTAGGGTAGGTATGTCAAGCCAATAGGTTCTTCAGGGGAAATGACAGTGGAGCATTCCATGTATGGGAGCATTCCAGAACAGTTGTACAATCCAATGCAACAGCCCATGAAGGAAGATCCAAATAGGCCAAGTCTGTTGTTCTAGCCTTACCCAGTAGCCCAGCTTGAGCACCAAAATTAGTTGCTTCCACTTTTGCAGTTTGCTGGGAAGTCAGATTGAGGTTGAAACAACAGTTCCACCAGGAGGGAGGGAGGGCATGCAAATGAGGAATGCACTATCCCAAGACCCACCAAGGTAGTCTGGAGTGTAAACAGAACCTGGTGCCGGGGACAGAAGAGAGAATGCAGCCTGGGGTAAGGTTTTCCAAAAAAGAAAATGATCGCTTCCAGCACCAAGGTGGGCTTGCCTGGGTCTGCATAGCAGGCCTTACAGAGAACAAGCTATTTAATGACATGGGTCTGTAAAATGTTCCCCAAGTCAATGACAACTGGTAGAATGCAGGTGATTCACCTGGATTCCAGAACATTCCAGCCCTGTTAAAGTTCATTATAGAAACCCAGAGATCAACTATCAACTAGAACAAAGACCTAAGGTCTCATAGGGTTATCCTTCAAAATAATTATTACCAGACTTACGACTCATCATCATTGTCCATCTGTCTTTGCTGTATCTGAGCCAGATGCTAGTAACATGACATCTAAAGTGTAACCAGGTACATGATCTTAAAAAGTTCACCTTTCTGGGTAAGACTCAATGGAAGATTGTGGGAAACTTAGTATAAAATCTGCTGCCAGAACCTGACCTGCCACCATACTGAGTGAGACATCCCTAGGAGAAGAGAGACTGCATTTGGGGTTCTTGAATTTTTAAACATAATCAGCTTATTATATCCTGTAAACAAATGAATGCTGATGTTCAGCTAGAATTGGTGTTTTCAATGAAAAAATAACAGAATCCAGGAGTTTGAATTTGGTGGCAGCAGTAGCATGTCTAGTTAGCTGCAGAGCTGCTTTCTCTCCAGCTGCAGCATTTTCCCTGCCTTTCAGGACCTTCATGGGTCATGTTTCCATCTAGGAGGGGCACAGTTAGGTAACCAAGATCAACTCATTATAAAGCTGGTAATTTGCCTATCTTCATAAGGATTTTAACCAGAGTGTAGACATGATCCAAGCAAAGTCAGGACCTCCTCATGGAGATGCATAATCTGTATAAAATAGGAGCTGTGGCTTCCCAGACATACAGACCCACAGCTGAGAAACCAGTCTTGACAAAAACGTTCAGTGAGCACAGCTGAGACCCTGAAATAATCCCCTCCCATCAAGCCTGTTTGTTTTGAGTGAAATTCCAACACAAGGTCCTCATGAAATTCAGGAACACAGATACACATGGTTCCCATATCAGTTAAATCAGTTTTGCTATTCATACCACCCCAACCATCCAACAAGCAGGAATGCAATTCTCTCCTGAGGAAAGAAGTCTGAATCACAGGAAGAAATGGTATCATTTCAGGTCTCTAAAGTCAGGTGATTGCACCTAATTAGAGGAAGGCTTCCCATAAAGAAGCTCCTCTGTAGAGACTCCTGGTTCAAACCTTCTGTGCTGGTGAGCCACCAGCACAAAATCAACCTAGCACTTCATCTTTCCCTGCTGCAGCTCACCAAGGTTTGTCATGGCTGTACCTACCTACCAGGAGCAAAACTAAACCACCATTCCCCTGCATCTCAGCTTCCCCTCTATCCTGTGGTCCCCACCTTCAGGCTGGCCTGAACCCTGAGTATCCTCCCATAGCTTACCAACCGGAAAGCATTAGCCCTGAGCCCCCCTTACAGTCTCTTTTACTTCAGGAGGGTTGGCCCCAGTCTTATCTTGGTGGTTGTGGCCACATCCTTCTGGGCTTTAGGGGATGTCATCTTTGGCCTCTAGTCAATTTTCCTCTCAACCTTTTTCTCTTCAGCTATATCTAGCTCAGTCAGGACACAAAAGCAAAGCTTCTGGGTGACTCTGGTGATAGTAGCTAAATGAAAATAGAAAAGCATAAAGTTTAGCAAACACATTTAGCTAGTGCCCCAACCTAAACACCAGAAGACTGAAAGTTCATCTGGCGCTCCCTTCCCACCTGTCCCTTGGGCATACTGAAATTGGCTTTAACCCACCCCCAACCAGCATCTGTTCTCCATTTTATGTCCAGCCAGAGTCTAAGATACTTAAGACTCCTTGTCTTCCCAGGTGAGTGGCATAGTTTAACCCAGAATAGGACACTAATTGTGTCAAGATCAAAAGAGAAGCAGGGCACCAGTGGCTACACCGCCTGTAATCCTAGCTACTCAGGAGGCTGAGATCTGAGGTTCTCAGTTCAAAGCCAGCCTGGGCAGTAAAGTCAGTGAGATTCTTAGCTCCAATTAATGACCAGAAAACCGGAAGTGGCTCTGTGGTTCAAGTGGTAGAGCGCTTGCCTTGAGCAGAGACATCACCCAGGGCTAGAGTTCAAGTTCCACGACCAACAACAACCAAAAAAAAGGATCAAGAGAGAAGTATGTGGGTACCCATGTTGACATAGCTAGTGAGTAATGGAGCAGACACTCACCCAGGACATTCCGGATAAACAATGGCCTCCGGGACTCTGGCAGGTAAACACCCATGAAGTAGACAGGGACCCCAGACAGGGCAATCCCAATGCCAATGAGAGAATTGATGGCGTCACTGAAGAGGGGCACGATCACCAGAAACATGGAGCATAGGCAGAACACAATGGGAAAAAACAGGCTCAGCTAAAATGGAGGGAAATGAGATATATGAGATGATGGTACAAGCCATAAGCAAGAAGGTACTTTGGAGAGAGGGCCCACCCCTCTAAACCTGACCTTGAGAGGCCGGGGCCGCTCGGGCTCCTTCCAACGAAGGTAGAGTTGTCCGACAACAGAAAGGCCCACAAAGAACCAGTAGCTGAAGCTGAAGTAGTTGATGAGAAGGAAAACGTCCTCCACAATGAGGTAGATGAGTGTCATGGTGCACTGTGGAGGAGGTAATGGGGAAGAGGAGTGAGCACTGTCACCTCCAGCCAACCCAGAGACTCTACAGCCAATCATCTTACACCTGGGTCTCAAATACTTAGGATATAAATGGAAGGAAGGCCTCCAGAAGCATCACAATGCCCTGTGGCTTTAAAAATGCATAAAAGGGGCTGGGAAGTTGGCTCAGTGGTAGAGCGCTTGCCTTGCATGCATGAGGCCCTGGGTTCGATTCCTCAGCACCATATAAGCAAAAAGAAAAAAGCCAGAAGTGGCGCTGTGGCTCAAGTGGTAGAGCGCTAGCCTTGAGCTGAAGAGCTGAGGAACAGCGCCCAGGCCCAGAGTTCAGGCCCCATGACCGGACCCAAAAATAAATAAATAAATAAATAAAAGCAAAATTAATCCATACCCACTTGGAGAGAAGACCGAAGTCACCCTCTCAAAGGGATCTTAGAGGACGGATCAGGGACTGAAGTCTTAGGACAAGGTCCAATTTGCCTAAATGTCAAGCATACAGAATATTCCCATCTATCTTTTTCCCTCAAAATAACACAACTTAAGGCAAAAAGATCCTATTCTGCAGAGACATGGAAGGACCCTCTGTATTAAGAAAAATGGTCAGGCTGGGAAGGTGGCTCAGTGGTAGAGCACTTGCCTTGCATGCATGAGGCCCTGGGTTCGATTCCTCAGCACCACATAAGCAAAAAGAAAAAAGCCGGAAGTAGTGCTGTGGCTCAAGTGGTAGAGCGCTAGCCTTGAGCTGAAGAGCTGAGAGACAGTGCCCAGGCCCAGAGCTCAGGCCCCATGACCGGACCCCCCCCCCCCCAAAAAAAAAAAGAAAAATGGTCAAGCTTAGTGGTATATGTCTAATTCCAGCACTCGGGAGGCTGAAACAGAAAGAGCTAAAGTGGAAGGGAAAAAAAAAGAAAGAAAGAAAAATCTAAAGTGTAAGGTCAATCTAGGCTACACAGAGATTTTATCAAAGAGAGAGAGAGAGAGAGGGAAATAGTGGAGGAGTTTGGAGTACAGTTCAGTGGTAGAACACTTGCCTATTAAGTGGAAGAAGGCCTAGGTTCCATCCCTAGCACTGCATAAATAAAATATGTGCAGATAGACAGATGGTTTTCAAATCTTGGAATAAGGCCTATCTATAAAACACTTTAGTGCATATTAGAAAGAACCCTACATAAATATGCCCAAACCCCCACCCTCTGTGAGCACAGCTTACATTGAACAATAAGGCAGGAATGGGTGTGAAACGCTCAATGTGGATCATAGACAGAAGGTCTGGGAGGTGGCCCTCACGGGAGCCCACAAAAAACAACCTGTAAAGATAAGAAATGTGTCAGCAGGATCCTTTTACTCAACCACACAACCATATTCCTTACTTAGATAAACTAGTCTCAGAGCCCCAGAAATAGCAGGGAACAGTCTTTCATACTCCATGCATGCCTAGCCCATTATGCATGAATACCCACATCTCCACCCTCTTCAACTATTAGCAACTCACCACTACTTGGAATGTACCATGCTACCATTCATTATCCACTGCCCACCCCTCTCCCAATCCTCAGCAGTGAAACTCAACTATCCTTCACCGACACTCCCACAACCAAATACCTCACCAACATCCCATTGATGCTGCATCCTGGCATCACCTACCAGCACCCCAACCCATCCAACCAGTACCACCCTCACTCTGCTATTTGCAAATTTGTAAATAAATTTGTAAATTTACATGACTTTTAAAAAGAAGGGCAGCCGGGCGTCAGTGGCTCACGTCTATAATCCTAGCTACTCAGGAGGCTGAGATCTGGGGATCAAGGTTCAAAGCCAGCCCAGGCAGCAAAGTCCATGAGACTCATATCCAACCAACCACCAGAAAAACCAGAAGTAGTGCTGTGGCTCAAGTGGTAGAGTGCTCACCTGGCTGAAGAGCTGAGGGACAGCGCCCAGGCCCTGAGTTCAAGCCCCACAACTAACCAAAAAATAAGAGCAGCGTCTATGCCCTTCCATGACTTCATATATGATAGACTACGGTGAACTAGGGGATCAGAGACAACCCAGGCCTCCTCTCCATATCTAAAACACTCCACCAGGCTGGGAATGTGGCTTAGTTGTAGAGTGCTTACCTAGCATGCATGAAGCCCTGGGTTCAATTCCTCAGTACCATGTAAGTAGAAAAGGCTGGAAGTGCTGTGGCTCAAGTGGTAGAGTGCTACCCTTGAGCAAAAGAAGCTCAGAGACAGTGCCCAGTAACTGAGTTCAAGCCCCAGGACTGGCAATATAAAAATAAAAAAAATAAAATTCTCTCCCAGCTGGGAAAATGACCAATGTAGATGAAGTATCATCCAAGGTAGCCTCCAACAGCATAGAGAGCACTCACTTATTGGACTTGAGAGTTGACTGAGGGAGCAAAAAGCTTTAAAAGAGTGGATCATATCTGAGTTGGGAAGAAGAGCTGGAGTATTCCAGAACTAAGTGGGCAGATAGGGAACCATCACATTTAAAGACAAAAGACCTCAGAGTCATTACAAAGTGTAGCTCAGCCAAGCGCTGGTGCCACATAATCCTAGGCTACTCAAGAAGCTGACATCGGAGGACTGTGATTTGAAGCCAGCCCTGGCAGGAAAATCCGTGAGACTCTAATTAACCACTCAAAAACCGGAAGTGGCACTGTGGCTCAAAGGGGTAGAATGCCCCCTGGGCACAGGTGGCTCATGCCTGTAATCCTAGCTACTCAGGACATCTGAGTTCAAACCCCATGACTGACAAAAAAAAAAAAAATACAGGCCCTAGGCTGGAGGTGATGAAGGTAGGCACCCTGATGAAGGAGAGAAATGATAACCTCAGTTAAATTTAGTGAGTGTGTGTATGTATACAAACGTGTATATTTGCGCACGTTTCAACTGGGGGAAAAGGATGGACATTAAAGGAAAATTCCAGATGCCAAGAGGCCAAGCAATTAAAACAGCCATAATGGCACAACTGGAAAGAAATAACATGTGGAATAAATAGTAGATGTTTGCAAGCCACCCAGGAAGAACCCCAGGAACTGATGACACCACCAAAAGTTTGAGTTGGCTAGTGAGAATTAAGGATTGTATCTGGACATGGTGGCACATGCCTGTAATTCCAGCACTCAAAAGGCTGAATCAGGAGAATCATAAGTTTAAGGCTAGCCTGGGTCCATATAGTAAGAGTGTGTGTGTGTGTGTGTGTGTGTGTGTGTGTGTGTGTGTGTGTGTGTGTGTGTATGTTTATATATGTCTATCATTGGTAAAGTTGACACTCAGTACCTTGATGAAGCAAAGATAGATGCATTAAGGCCCCCAAAGCAGGACAGAGCAACAGCAATAGGGATGGTCCAACTGAACATGCCAAACGTCTGGTCAGCAAATGTCTGGGGACAAAGCACAGGAGGACATTCAACACAGGACAAAGTTTGGAATCAGCCTACATGTATGATATTAGGTCAGAAGCAGTCATTGCTAAGCAACCCACCCTCTGCTCTAGACTTATCCCCTCATACTACAAGAGCTGGTCTGGCTGCAGAGAGAAAGAGAGAGAGAGGGGGTCATTTAGTGGGGCTAGATATCATGAGCTGATGATCCTCATTTGAGGATCCCAAGAGACTCACCACAGCCACAGCATCACTATTACGGACATCTGAAATGCTCAGCACTGTGTAATAGGCAACGTTGGTCAGGATGTAGATGAACATCACAATTGGCATAGAAATCCCAATGGCCAAGGGCAAATTTCTGTTAGGACAAGGGAAATAGGACCACCTAAAACCAACCTCTCCTGGGACCCACGGTTCATCAAGTATCCACTGGAAGGTTTTAACATTTAACAGTTTATTGGCCACTGGGTCTTTTGAGGCTGGCTCCTCTCACCTTATATCCCAAGGTGGGTATGTATCTTATGCCCATAGGCTCTTTCTACTGAGTAAGAGAAAGAGAGAGGGTGAAAGAAAAGAGAAAGGGACAGGAAGAGAGGGAGAGAGAAAAGGGATCAGAGGCAAGGAGGGAGGAGCACTTTTTCTATGAAGACAGCTCCTTGCCACAATAGGTCCAATGAGTCCCACAGAACTTTATGTTCATGCATCTCTGATCTCTGGGGACTAGAAGCTAGGCGATGGAACCCAGCTGGCCAAAAGAAACTCAAGTTCTGCCATTTGTTATCTCAGCACCCGCTGAGATTACAAGGCCCTGAGAGCTCAGCCCCAGCTGAGTCTGCTGCTGGCTTCTCCTCTAAGGAGGACCCTGGGGCTCTCCAGTGGGAACATGAAGGTATGAGCCAAGGACCTTCCAGCTTTCACTCACTCCTATCCTACCTCTTGATCTCTCCTAACTAGAGAAGGGTGAACAGGAAAATAGGATGAGAGGCAGAGGGAGGAGGCGTGTTCAGGGCAAGTGCACCCACTACAGCAGCAGTTTCAGTCAAGTTGGAGAGTGAAAGTATGATTTTTGCCTTTACCTTTCTGGGTTTTTTATTTCTTCTGTTACAAAATTAAGGGTGTCCCAACCTGAATAAGAGAAGAGGGCAGAGTAGAGGGCAAGAGAGAGGTTCCCCATATCCCAGGAGGAACCCTCAAAGGAGTTCATGAAGTGCCCAGAGTGTCCTACGGAGGCAAAGACAGATGGGGATTCAGGGAAAAGGAAGAGGTTGAGGAAAAAACATGGAAAATATGTGGAGAAGAGGAAGGATGAGGAGAAAGGACAGAGGAAGGAAACATGAAGAAAGGAAGGAGGGGAAGGAAGATAAAGAGGGGCAAACAAAAAGGGAAAACGGGAAAGAAAGAAAAAAAAACGTTATTTAACACCAAAAGAACAACAGCCCAAGTTTTCCCCCACACTTTATTACCACCCCACCTGATCACTCAGAAAAGTTCCTATCTCTTCAGGAAAACTGGACAATCTCAGAAAAATAAAGTTCTTCCTGGCTGATGTGCCTTGCTCTGATTTTTTTCTAACACCAGTAGCTGTTCCCCTTAAAGGAGACATTTTCTACTAGCAGTGCAAGGTCTTGGCTCAGATCACGACACAATTTGGTCACATGGGTTTATTAATCTCACAGACCACTGCTCTATTAGCAGTGGGTGCAGGTTGATAGAGACAGGAAATTACAAGCTAAGAGTAACTGAGGTTTTCTTATCTCATACTGGGTCACCCCCACTCTTCAGGGGGCCAGCTCAGGCCAAGATACATATATGTCCTTCTCCCTAAAGGCATCTGGAGACTGCAGACCTGAAGCCCAGGGGCAGCATCAAAATACACAGAGATCTCCGGAACACATTAGGGGTTTTAACAGAGACTCAGCCTTCTAAGGGAATTTGTTACTGACCTCTGTAGAAAGATAGACTCAGATCTCATTGTGGCAAAAAGGCTAGGTATGCAGCAAGAGCAAAGAACACAAAGACTCCTGTTCTCCAGAGCTGTCAGGCACTGTACATAGCAGTGGTTCCCTGAGGTTTATCTTGAGGTCTATGTTGATTGCTCAACAATCCAATTTGACCCCAAGATGCTCCTGAGACTCTGGGGACATCTAGATGGTTGCCTGCACTTACTTGGCATGAGCATAGTCCAGAACTCAGATCCTGGACCAACTGCCTAAGAATCCCCTAGGGCACTTCATAAAAACACAGCTTTTCGCTGAGGTATAGCTTGATGATCAAGCATTGTATAGTATTCATGAGGCCCTGGTTTAATCCCCAGTACCACAAAAATAAAAACAAACTGGGCACTGGTGCTTCACACCTATAATCCAAACTACTCTGGAGACTGAGACTGGAGGATTGTGACTCCAAGCCAGCCCAAGCAGGAAAGCCCATGAGACTCTTATCCACAATTAACCTCCAGAAAACCAAAAGTAGAGCTGTGGCTCAAAGTAGTAAAGTGCTAGCCTTGAACAGAAAAGCTCAGGGACAGAACCCAGTCCCTGAGTTCAAGCCCCATGACCAACAAACAAATAAATAAACAAACAAACCCAACCTTTTAGACTTAAAGCCAACCAGAGATTGAGTTGAGGGGCTCAGCTCTCCAGGTTATTTTAAACACAGCTGCATTTAGAGTCTGATCATCTAGAGGAAGGGGCTGTTAAATGAGGGAGAAATCCTTGGCTGAAGATCCTTAGGATTTCCCTTTTAAGCCAAGGAGATTATGGGAAGCCTATTACTCTCATGGTCAATTCAGTGTGCTCTGATCCAGAAATGAAAAGCTCTACAAAGCCAACATGCAGAAAAGCAGTGCCAATTTCACAATATTCTGCTATTTTGCTCAGTGAGCTGGCTTGGGGAGGAATGCTGAACCCAAATCCAGATGAAAAGTGAAGGCTGTAAAATAACCACAAAGCCAACCTCCCAGATTACTTACACACACACACACACACACACACACACACACACACACACACACACACACAGTCACCCTTCTATAGGAAGACCAAGTTTTCCTACTTGCTGCCCACCCTGCTGTCATAGACCAAAACCAGAGACCCCTCTATCTACTACCCCCACCCCCACCTCCAGATGGCTTCTGTGGCCCAATTATGACCAAAGTTTCACAAGCTGCTGTGCCTGTGGCTGGCTTCCTTCAATGCTTCCAGCCGCCCTGAGAGTTGGTACAATACTTCCAGTTAGCCAAGTCAGGCTGGCCCACAAAATTCAAGAAGAGATATATGACCATATCTTGCACTCACTGACACACACTAGCATAACACAGAAAGAGCTGAGCAATAAAGCTAGTAGTGTCCCCCAAATCTTCCTTAGGGAACCAAAGGAAATCCTGGGACATCCACCTTCTTCCCACATCAAGCCCATCTTACCCTGGCACAGTTTAACAAGGCCCATGACAATGATGGCAATGAGCGCCAGGACCTTGGCGTAAGTGAACATGTCCTGCACTCGTGTGCCCCACTTGACGTAAGCACAGTTTACAAATGTCAGCAGACCTAGGAGGAAAACCATAACGTTACTGGCAAGTTACTTTTCACAGAAAACATTACTCCTGACCTTCTTCACAAAAGGAAGGACCTGCCCCTGCTGAGAGCACCCATGAATATCCCAACACCGTTGACATCCAAAAATACAAAAGCATGTATGAACTTATAATCAAACATTCTGATAGCCAGAATCGTTTTTGGAAATTCTCCTCACACCCAAAAAGGGTTGACTTCATTTCACCCAATCTTCTCCATCCAGATTCCCTCCCAAGGTGTCAAAGTACAAACAAGAGGGGTTGGTGCCGTTGGTAGAGTGCCAGCCAATGAGCAAGTGTCAGGAACTGAGTTCAAGTCCCAGTCTTGGGAAAAAAATTGTACAAGAGCTGGGCGCTGGTGGCTCATACCTGCAATCCTCGCTACTCAGGAGTCTGAGATCTAAGGATCACGGTTCAAAGCCAGGCCAGGCAGGAAAGTCCCAGAGACTCTTATCTCTAATAAAACCACTAGAAAACTGGAAGTGCCACTGTGGCTCAAGCGGTAGAATGCTCGCCGTGAGCTGAAGAGTTGAGGGACAGCACCCAGGCCCAGAGTTCAAGCCCCACGACTGACCAAAAAAAAAAAAAAAATGTACAAGAGGCACAAAAGCTCTCTCTATGGACATTAGAGAGGGCCTATAAATACATTAATAAGTTAGGTAGATTTGAATGCAGATGATTGATTACTGAGGAATTAGACAATGTTTGGGGGCTCTTTTAGTTGATTGTTTTGTTTTGTTTTTGTGTCAGTTCTGGGACTTGAACTCAGGACCTGATTGCTATCCATGAGCTTTTTTTCTTTTTTTTTTTCTGCTTAAGGCAAGCATTCTACCACTTAAGCCTCAGCTCTACACTTCCATGAGACAATGTTCTGTATGTGTTAAAAAAAAAAAATCTGTTATGTAATTGACAACCTCACATATACTCCCCTCAATCAATTCTCACAAACCCCAAAATATAAGTATTTCTGTTTCCATTTTATAGATAAGAAAACGGAGGCCAGGTGCCGGTGGCTCACACCTGTAATCCTAGCTACTCAGGAGGCTGAGATCTGAGGATGCAGTTCAAAGGCAGCCCAGGCAGGAAAAGCTGTGAAATTCTTATCACCAATAAACCACCAGAAAAGTGGAAGTGGTGCTGTGGCTCAAGTGGTCTAGCCTTGAGCTGAAGAGCTGAGGGACAGCACTCAGGCCCAGAGTTCAAACCCCACAACTGACCAAAAAAAAAATTGAGGCTAAAAAGGGGTTAACTATCAAACTATCATTCCTAAGCCCAAAAGATCACTGGTAAGTACCCACAGTCCTTATCCAAACCTCTCAGGGAGGTCCATGGAAAAATGAGTTTACCAAGTGCTCCCAAGGTTCATATCAGCAGTGCTGCCTTAAGCTCCAGCTCATTCCTTATGCACCTCAGTGATATACGGGCCCTATGTAGAGGATCCAGCACCTTGCCCCCACGGGGGTTCTACAGTAAAAAGCATAGTGGTACCTCCAAATACTGCTGCTAACCTTGGAACTTAAAGATGCACTCAAATGTTATCACAAAAGCTGTCAGGCCCATCCTCTTGGCCACTTGTACCTACATTTTACCCACTTTGACAACAAGTCAAAAAACACAGCCAGGCTCCAGTGGCTCACACCAGATATAACACAAAAGAAATGCCCTCCTTTACCTCCTCCTCCTGCCTTAGCTATGCCTACTTCCAAGTCTGGCTCAGACACTAGGAAAACTTTCCTAAATTTACCTGCCACCCTCTGGAGCTCTCTACTCTCCACAGCACAGCTCAGTGTCTAGGGCTGTTGTCCTGTGGACATCTGTTGACATGAGATCTCCCTCTCCCTCTCCCTCTCCCTCTCTCCCTCTACCTCTCCCTCTCTCCCCCTCCCTCTCCCTCTCTCCCCCTCCCTCTCCCTCTCCCTTTCCCTCTTCCCCTCCCCTTCCCTCTCCTCTCCCCCTCCCCCTCCCCTCCCTCACATGTTGTTAGGTTTTGTTACCCCAAGATCATAAATTTCCAGAGGGCAATAAAAGCATAGTGCATTCTTAAACTACTTCTTAGCAAAAAAGAAAACGAATGAACGGTGGCTGGAATTAAGGTGTTGATGACTCTCGTCAAATGGACACTTCCCTGCGGCAAGCAAATTTTCAGAAAGGTAGACATTCCTCCTTTCAAAAGAACAGAAGCACCCCAGGACCAGCTGTGAAAATGAACACATGGTAGTAATGGCCTCCACAGTGTTTCAAGAGCTTCACTCACCACACTGGTAAGTAATACAGGTGTTCACTAATAACAATTATATGGAGGTGGGGGAACAGCAGCCAAGAGTGTCAGGGAGAAACTCCTAAACTGCTGAGCCAAGTTCTCTGTGTGGAATAGCCCAGACGAGCTAACACAGGCAGATAACCAGCAATTCACAGTAATCCACAGGCCCACGTGCAATATAATAAGTACATTCTGAGGTACTACTTGCTCAGCCTCTTGTTTTGGTTTTGGGTTTTGCTTTTGCTAGTTGTGTGGGGAAGGGAGGGGTGTCCTGGTATCTTTGCAGTGCTAGTGATCAAACTCTGGCCTTGAGTATGCTAAGCTAACATTCTACACTTGGGAATTGTTCCCACTTCCCTATAATCATCAGTCAGACCAGATAATGAGCCCAAGTCTGGCCTAGGAGATTGTCTCTCCAAGGAACTGCCCTTAGACTCAGAATGCCAAGAAACAAAATCTTTATAGTATTGGGCTACACCAAGAGGCAAGAACTACAAGTCAAAAAAATAATTCAAAGCCAGGCCAGGCAGAAAAGTCTGTGAGACTCTTATCTCCAATGAACTACTCAGAAAAAGCCAGAAGTGGGCTGGGAAGGTGGCTTAGTGGTAGAGCGCTTGCCTTGCATGCATGAGGCTCTGGGTTAGATTCCTCAGCACCACATAAGCAGATAGAAAAAAAAAAGCCAGAAGTGGCGCTGTGGCTCAAGTGGTAGAGGCTGGCCTTGAGCTGAAGAGCTGAGGGACAGCGCCCAGGCCCAGAGTTCAGGCCCCACGACCAAAAAAAAAAAAAAGGAGAGAATAGGAGGGAGAAGAGACCCAAAAAAAAAAAAAAAAAAAGTATCAAATGGAGACATGGAAAAATGGATATGTTCATGGAGAGAAACTGGCTCACTAAGCTTGTTTATAGCCTCAAGATGAGGAAGAGATTGAAATGCTCCTCTGCCCACAACACCAGGCATTATGTCTCACTTCTTCCCTCCATCCTACAGCACGTTTCCTGCAGGGTTGATTCTCTCTGCACACATTTAAGTACAGACAACACTGAGTGGAAATCCAGTAACCACTCTAATGAATGAAAGCGGTTTCTCATGGTCATCCCTGAAGGACTCATTCCATGACTAGCTGGATGAATACAAAAGTACCTCATCAGCTGGGAATTGCTTGGAAGACTGAGGCTGGGTCAGCAAGCCTGTCTCTACAGAGGAAAACTAAAGATCTGGAGAGACAATGAATAATGGATGGCTCACACTATCTTAACAGCTACAAGAGAGACATAAATAGGGAGATCATGGTCCAGGCTGCCCTGGGCAAAAACAAGTCAAAAGGGCTAGGGATATAGTTCCAGTGGTAGAGTGTCTGCCTAACAAAAAGCAAGACCAGAAAGAAAAAAGAAAGAAAGAAAGAAAGAAAGAAAGAAAGAAAGAAAGAAAAAAAGAAAGAAAGAAAGAAAGAAAGAAAGAAAGAAAGAAAGAAAGAAAGAAAGAAAGAAAGGGAGAAAGGGAGGAAGGGAGGAAGGGAGGAAGGAAGGAAGGAAGGAAGGAAGGAAGGAAGGAAGGAAGGAAGGAAGGGAAAGAGAGAAAGAAAGAAAGAAAGAAAGAAGGAAAGAAGGAAAGGAAGGGAAAGAAGGAAAGGAAAGAAGGAAGGATCTTATCAGGTGCTGGGAAATTTTTCCCACAGTATACTCCTTATATTTTCACTTATTTGTCTTTTTTATTTCCCTTTGGTTGGTCATAGGGCTTGAAATCAGGGCCTGGGCACCATCCTTGAGCTCTTTTGCTCAAAGCTAGCACTTTATCACTTTGAGCCACAGTTCCACTTCTAGTTTTCTGAAGAGTAACTGAGATAAGAATCTCACAGATCTTTCCTGCTTGGGCTGGTTTTGAACCTCAGTCCTCTAGATCTCAGCCTCCTGAGTAGCTAGATTATAGGCATGAGCCACCAACACTTGGCTACTTACTCATCTTTATACTTTTACTTATTTACCATGTACATTATGCTTCTTTATTCATGAAAGTAGTTAATTAGCCAAGATGTATTGCTAGGGCCAGGAGCAGTGTGAAAAGAAGCAGGTGTCTAGGGTACATAGCGTAAGGAGCACTCACTCTAGTGGGCCAAGTCCAGGAACTTGAGAGTGAGTATATCCTTTAAGACCAGCCCCAGGCACATAGGTTGCCTCATCCATTCTCAGTCCTGCCAGAGAACATAGTCTGCCAAGCAGATGCCAAGTCCCTGGGCTATTTCCCAGACTCTAAGAAATAAAAGGTCCTCACTTAGGTAACTGGAACCCCTCTGTACATCATCTTTATAATATGTGTGTGTGTGTGTGTGTGTGTGTGTGTATACAAAAAGGAAAAATAAATAAAATCTCACCACCCGAGCCATAACCCTCCATGCCAGCCAAAACTTAGCCATTTCGCTCCCCAAACTTTATCAGAGCACAAACTAAGATAGCAGAGCCAAACCTTGAGGCCAGATGCTCAGATTTCACAGTTACAGTTCATATCCTAAGCCTTCCTTCTTCTCCTGATTGCATTTTCATCTTCTATGAGGGTCTCCAAGCACGTCTGGGAGCTTGCTGTTTTTGTGGTTATTTACTTGTTTGCTTATTGGTGTGTGTGTGTGTGTGTGTGTGTGAGAGAGAGAGAGAGAGAGAGAGAGAGAGAGAGAGAGACAGAGACAGACAGAGACAGAGACAGACAGAGACAGAGAGTTTTT